GTACAAAATACATTTGAACACGATGGGTAAATTTCACGTTCATCCCTAAGTTTTACAATGTACTTGCACAACCCAGGCAATAATCAGTTATTTGAAGTATCTTATGCATCGATGCAAGCAAAGTCTCATAATACGACGCCAAACGCTGTTACTTATGTACACGAAATACATGTATATATAAATATATATGTACACATATGTATGTAAATGTATATATGTGGCCTGTCGCAGGGCCGAGGCGATAAAACTCGCGATTGACAAGTTGTTGCTCGCGGGTTCGAATGTCGGTGAGGTAAACCATACATGGTAATGGCTATTTATATGTTTACTTAGACTTTTGTTCGCCTGTTAACCAGTGAAAATATGCTTTTAAAAAAAATGACAACAATAACAAAACGCATTCATAATGATAACATTGTAATAGAAACTCCGACAAGGGCGGGTAGACGAATCATTGCGTATACACTCGTCGTAGCCTATATTTTTTGTACTTTTTTCACGACGTATATATCCGTCATAGCAAGCAAAGAGTTAACCGTTTACTACTTTAAACGTGAGAGTATGTTATGCTGTTTGTTGCTGACTGACTTTCCATGCTATGATATCACAGTATATAGTAAGCCTTAGAGTTAAGTTCGCTTGTTAGAGTATATTAAACCTAAACAAGTAAAAAAGTTATAATCGGCTGGGGCCAAATATCGTATACCCTCCATCCATACTTTAATTTATGGGCAAAAAAAGTGAATGCACTAATATTTTTCTTTCACCATTTACTTCACTAAAAGATATTATTAAGAAAAATTAGTCTACCACGTCGGGACGACCATAATTATTTTAAAATTAACACTCCTACCTTGTCTTCGTTCGACTCTCTAGATCCTTTTATTTGATAACCATATCGTTGATGTTATTAAGAAAAAATTAATTGACCAAATCGTGGTTTAGGAATTATTCCATTTTTGGGCAGATAATATATCTTCAGTTGAGGAATGCACACTCTGCCTGACCTCGAAAAAGTGAAAAGAGGAAAATTGAATGACATTTAACTTTTTGAAGGCAAGCCTGCACAACCACAAAATTTTGTGTAGAAAAAGGAGTTGCGTTCAGTTTGCGCCTCACTGCCGGCTTGTGCTCTAACCAATTTGGCCCGTTGTACTACATTGTACCGTCATCGAGACCAAAGTTATTTGCAAAACTTTATCGTGATTGGACATACGGAAATACTCGAAATATCGGTTAGCAATTTCCATGCTTGCACGAAAGCAAAGTTATGTGAAATACGAATAATGAGCAAACATAACATACACTTACCTATAATGGTAGCCAAAAATTCAATTCAATTCTTGACTGCAGTAACGAAGCAGTGAAACGAAACCAATAAATAACCGCAAAAGAATTCGTGCTGAATTTTCAACACAAGAAGAAAGGAAAAATTTTAATTTCCGAATAATGAAACGGAGTATGAACTTATGAGAAAACATAACCTGTACACACTTCACTATCTGATCACATGCTTGCTATGTATATATAAAATATCTTGGAATAACGAAGAACTCAACTCGTATAAACACACAGAGCACAGACGTAATGGTAATTATTTGTATTTCGTTATTTCATTCTCCACTTGCGGTACACGTTGTATTAAGTTTGTGTGGACATATGTAACACCCAGAAGGGTTTAGGATAGGCCCAGCATCTATTATACTGATCTAAGCTTGTCTGCCCGTCTATATGTTTGGCCGCATGTCTAATGTCTGTCCACGTCCAACCCGCATGTCGCAATTTTCGAATTATTTTGACAAAATTTAATAAACGTGATAGAGGTGCTTTGACCTTTGAAAGCTGTTGAAAATTCGGATTGACCCACTTTTTTGACTAAGTGAAATTTCGAAAAGTATTTGACAAATCTCGCTGTGTAATCTATGAAAAATCTGGTTTGGCAGGAGCAATTTTTTGAATCCGCTCTCACACAACCGTTCCTAAGAAAAGTAAAGCTTTATATGGTAAAAAGATCTCTTTTTCCAATATTTCATAGTGGAAATTAATTCATAACAGTGCATTGACGTAGAAATCATACTTAACGAATGTTAACCAAGGATTCTCAGCATATGTAATCCCTCATGTGCCAAACAGTCTTAACTTTTTCTTTACGATGAAAATTTGTTTATTATATTACATTATATGTTATATATTGTACATTAGATATTATATATTATATGTTACATAATATATGGAATTAATTTCACCAAATATGTGTATGTCTCTTCGACGCCACAAGATTTCGCATGAATAGTAAGCCCCTATATAAGTTTAATTTTTCATATCTTACTATGAAACCGTACGGAATTTGAATCACATTAGTCTACTTTTTAGACCCCAATGTATATAGCGGTTGTTATGAAAAGAAAGCCATCGTATGAAGAGAAAGTTTATTTTCTCTTTTTTTATGATGGAAACTCAAAACTAATAAAATATTTATGAAGTATATTAAGTTTACTAAATTTGGATTATGCCATGTAACGTTTTGCGAACCCCTCAATATGCGGGCTTTCATGAAAAGTATGCCTAGGCATGACAATAATGAGCAATTTTTGGTTTGAAATTTATAACAACAGATGGATAACTGTACTATGTGAATTGAATTGTAGGGTACCTAATCGACGGCCTTCCTCGACGATAATATTCTTACTTAGTTTTATTTATGCTTGGCTTGTCTTTTCCTTTGGTTAGTTAAACTAAATCATCTTGGAGCGATTTCTACACTTATTGTCGGTGTTGTTGGTCTGATCCCTCTGAGATGTGTGTTTTCGTATGTGAAAAGAAAAATGCGAAAAACACGAAAAATGTAAAATTTATGCAAGCATTATAAATATTTATAACAGCATCCTTTCATGCCCATTTCATATGGACATTAAAGCGGACACATGTTGTAATTTCACGGTGAATAATTTTTATTAAATTTTCACTTATAACGTTTACACGTACTAAACCATCATTACTTCTTTGTTTGCTACAATAATAATTATTTTTTCTTTTTATTGTACAAGTGAAAAATTTTTTCTTAAAGCATTGACGAGAGTTAAGTGATAGCAATTCGGAAATTTATTGATAATTGTAGGCGTAAGCATTTTAACCCTCACCTTTCGGTAAATGTTCCTATCATGTATGAAATCTTTATAAACATAAACTATTCCGGAGGAAAATATAAAAATTTGTTGTTTTTATCTTTGTTTAGGTTTTTAACTAAAGATGGCGGATGATTCGAATTTTTGCGTCCTTATACCTTACTCAGTACTTGTAGTATTGAGTTCATTAAATTTATGCTGATGCATGTAACGCCCAAAAGGACTTATGATACGTCTGTCCGCTATTGGAAGCCTGTCCGTTCGTCTATCCTCTATCCATGTACTTTTGTGCTCAATGACGAATGCTGTTGAAAATTATAATAAGTCTTTATATGAAAAGAATTCCAGAATTTCACGACAAAATGCGCTGACCAATTATATTTAGACGTTCCAAGCTGGTGTGCAAAATGAAGAATGCATGGCGCAAATTTTTTGAACCCCTTGCTATATACAAACTGAATCTTTATTTAAAAAAAGGTAAAAGGTCTTTAGGTAAAAAAAGCGAACTCTAAATATTTCTTAAGGAAAATTCGTGCTTAATAATAATTTGACGTAAACAATAATCTTACCGAATTTGGACAACGGTGATTCACTTTCTGGCTTCCACTTCATAAAAGGGTCTTAATGAAAAAAGGCTTTTTATGGCAAAAATGTCCTATTTTTGATATTTCCTATATATGTGAGAGTTCGCTAAATTTTGATCATATTAGTTGACGTTTCGACCATCACGAAAATGGTAACGAAAGTGAAGGAATACCTCTATTAAACGAAGTGGTTTAGAGTATATAGTATTCTTACTTGTCTCCTCTTATGTTCTTTTTAACATATATGCAAATAAGTTTTGGGGCGATTTTCTGATAATTCTCTCAAAATGTTGGTAAACGGAACTTAGGAAGAAACACAAATGATACCACTAAAGAACTGGCAGACGTATAAAAAATTCGTTACCGGCTTCCTAAGTGGTGACATTGTGTCATCTGTGAATATTTGTCAAACAGTGGTCCTTCCAACTGAAGCCTATTGTTCTTATGCTTTGCACAATACCATTGGTTTTTCGGGTATAATCTAAACAACAGAGTTTTCCGAAGGTTTAAATACGTAAAATTCTGTGCCTACAAAAAAAAGAAAAGAAACAGCGTTAGAAGCTCTCGTTGCTTAATTCGAAAAAGTGGTTTGCTGATTTCTTGGCAGATAGTGAATAATGAGCAAACAAACAAAATATCGCGAAAGCGCAAAAACACATCGTAAAAGTTGAGAGGAATATTAAAGGTGATACAAAAGCTGTATTGACTTGGTAATACCATTTAAAGACACTAGCAGAGTGTAGAGCAACTTAATGTTGAGAAACGCTATCAATTAGATTAAACACGGCTGGTCTCATCATTATAGGTAAGAAGCCGTTATAAATTGATTTTTTAGCACCTTTGCAACGAAAAGCTCTGAATGTTGCTCTCAGAGATCTAAGGGAAAGACGAGGAGGAGAGAGGAAGTGCACCAAAAATGATGCCCATTTTCAACATCTACCAAACAAAAGACATATCGACAAGACCTCCTTGAAATAAAATACTTTTACTAGAACAAAAGAACGGATTGATTCCATCCTATCTCTCAGATTTATCCTTTAAGGTTCTCGTATTTACGTAGAATCGTTTCGTGATAAGTTTACTTAAAAGGTAAAAGGACGCTTCTTTTTTACTGTTGTAGACAAATAAACACAAAAACTATTTTCCAAGATATTGTCTCTTGGTCGAAATATCACCTGCGCTGTACCGCATCCACAGAAATGCATCGGGAAGCAATAATTATTTCGAACTGAAAAAAACATTTATTTATCATGAGTTCAAAACTTCTCTACTAAAATTAAACAGTAATAAGTTTGGGATACAAAAAGCTAAAATATAATTCCTTACAACAAAAAAAAAGGAAGCACTGAACACACAATAAAAGTCTTTTCGTTTTAAAATCGATCTTACGCTATTTCTTATTTTCTGCGTTTTCGTTTTCTCCTTTGACCTCTCCCTCGGATTTCTCACTTTCTGCCATATCAGAATTTTGAGACGGAAAAGGCAACGATTGCAAACGTTTTATCATATCTTCTAACGATTCCTCGGGTTCTTTTTTCTCCCTTTGTATACGCGCGGACTTTGGAAGTGCGGCGTAAAGTTGGGCTGTTGGCTTAGATTTCGGTATTGCTCCCTTGCTGGCTACCATTTGACTGGGTATCGTTGTGATCGTCACACGTTCCGTTAACTCTTCCGAGACGATGCTAGAACAAGCCACATTTTTAGGAGTAGGCCACATGGTTACCGTTGTTGGATTATCCTCTACTAGAGAGGAATTCGAAGTTCCCGCTTTTTCGTTATCTTTATTTGAACTGGGACACTTCTGTCGATTTGATTCTCTTGCAGCAATTCTATCAATCATTTTTGTGCCACGTTCGGAGGTTTCGGAAAGGCGATTGATTAATTTCCTACCTTCTTCTTCCAAGATACGTAGACGTTCTTCCCTATTTATAGATATTTTTTCAATTTTGTCAATACGTTCCTCTACAGTCAATAGCGAGGACGAATCTTGTTGTTCAGGTAGAGGTGGCGCTAGTTCAATGTTTTCAGCGATCTCCGCTTCAGAGTTTCCGTAGCGCTGGTGTAACGTATCTAATCTGTTACCCAAGTTATCACCACGTTGTGTGTTCCGAGAAAGTTTATCAAGCAATTGCTTACTTTCATCTTCGAGTCTTTGCAAACGGGCAGATCGCCGAGCTGTATATGCTTCTTCCTCCTCCGTCAGGCAGCTTTTCGCAACGCTATCTGTGGTGTCGGCTGTTGCATTTGGGATATGGACTTCGATCCTTTCTTCACAGTCTTGTTGATCGGGCGACTGCTTTGTCATGCAATTACTAGTAAAACATTTGCTATCACTGGTACTATCAATTCTTAGATCTTCAGGAGATTTTTCAACGTTGGATGATTTTTCTTCGACTTTTTTTGCTTCGTGCTCTTCTTCAGTATTACTTTCAAAACTGCCCTCTGGACTAGGCATGCGTCTCAATCGTTCTAAAGAACAACGCAAATAATTACCTCTATCTGCGGTACGTCTAATGCGGGAAATAAGTTGACGACTTTCTTCCTCTAACCGTCCTAAACGTTCTGATCTCTTTCGCGTATATTCTTCTTCGCGCGGTGTTAAACATCCAGTGATTGGTGCCGAACTTGCCCGGGTCATTCTCTCAAAGCGTTTTTTAATGTTTGCATCTTTCAATGGAACAGAACATTTCACAGGAGCCATTTCGTCTTGAAAGTGACGTAATTGCATCTCCAAGCGTTCTCGATTGTCTGAAGTTTCCAACACTTGTTTTATTAATGATTTGCACTGTTCCTCTAGACGTTTGATGCGAACAGCTCGCTCTTCTTGCGGCTCATCGTCTAAGCCCATAACCTTATCATTAACTTTTGCATTTACGGCTTGTTTTTCGGCGCTACGGCGTTGAGAAGATCTAGATGTGCGGTCGAGACCTGTAGGTGTAGTATCAAGCTCGTTGGAAAGAACAGCGGACGGAATTGTTAATAAAGTGGGAGGAAGATCCAATGTAACATTTTCTTCATCGTCGTTGTCAATTTCATCGCCACAATAACCGGAACCGCGCCAGCCACAAGTTGGCGGCGCACTGTTCCAACGCAATACAACTACACGATCGCTGCTGACATTACTAGCAGCACGTCCAGGAGAATTACTTTGCATGCGTTTTATTTTACGTGTATGCTCAAACATTTCTCTCAATCGCTTACGCCTATACGTGGAGCAGGCACCTGCTACTTCCAAAATATCGCCAGAATTATCGATAAGTGGTAAACGCTCATGATCCTCCTCTTCTGAAGCCGGGCCACACGAATCACTATAACCGCTTTCGGCTGAGTTATTGCTATCTTCTAGCTTACGTTTGGCAAATTCTCTTCGCAAATCATTGCACTGCTCTTGACTTTCATCGTTTTTGGCACGTGCCGCAGCCCATTTGCGACGGCAATATTCCAACTCATCCTTCAACTCACTTAACAAACGACGTTTTTGCTGCAACTGATAACGTAGTATTTGCTCTTGTGTATGCAATTGACGATGTTGTCGCTGCATTTTGCCTACCAAGTGCCAAGTTTTTGTAAGTTCCAAGCTAACGGTTCCCAAACGTTTCTCCTGCTCATTTAAGCGGCATTCCAAATGAGAGTTTAATGTTTTTAGACGATTAGTTTCCTTTACCAAAGATTTTTTTTCCAAAATCAAATCCTATGCAAATAGTAAATGGCAATGCGTTGACGTGATGACATAAAAAGACAACAAAAATGAAACATAATTAAGATTTTGTTTGGAACAACGCTGATCTAAAACAAATATGAAAAATTTGTTCAAAATCTAGGAAGAATTTGTTCAGTACCGTTAATATATATACAAACTATCGAAATAGGGTTAACACAGCGAAAAGGAGAATGGACATTATAAAGAAGTTGTGTCCATTTTAAATTGAATTGATATACATTTACAATCTGCAACCAATTATATTACGAAATTGGCGCTTTTGCGGGCCTCCCCCCCCCCCTCAAGTCCTTACTATCTTGCTATCCCTTTTAGCTTTCCAAGAGTTGAAAACGTACAAAAAATTGGATTAGCTAATCATTTAAGCTAATATTTACACCCTGCGCCACTTGTGGGACTGGGACGCGGTCAGGTAAACCTGAGATATACGCACCTTCCACTATAACGATCGATTTAGAATCATTTTTAAATCAATTCAAGCTTATCGGGCCGTCTGTCCGCCTCATTTCTTGTGTTCAACGTAAAGACTACAATTTTTGAGATATTTTGATGAAATTTGGTGGACTAACGTGTTTCGACTCAACGACGAACACACTTAAAAACGATTCGGATCGAAGAACTTTTTCGACTATCTCTCCCATAACGCCTCATTTTGACAAACTATTGTGTAAATACTTTCAAGACCGTGCAGCGAATTAGTTGGCCAGCCCTGGCCTACTGTAGTGTTTTTATTAGTTTAGGTAGAGTTTTATTCTACATTTTCCTTTTTGTTTGTTTGTTTGTTGTTGTTTGGTTTTTTTTGTACGAATCCGAATCTTCTTTTTCCTTTGGTTCATTTTGATTCATCCATCCATTGTAGCTCATCAGATTCATCACCGAATTTACTTTTATCATAAAATGTAATCATATAAAAGATATTCTTAACCTATTTATGGAACAGAGCAAAGGTATTTTCTTTTTGAGATTGCTTTTATAAATTAAATCCCCAAATATTCAATATCTACAGGATTATTGGAAATGAAGTCTTACCGTCTTTTGCCCTCTAGGTAAATTTTGGTAAATCTTTTCTATTTCCTACACCGCGAGGTAGTATAACTATAGTACAACAACAACGTCCAGAAGGGCTTTTGTTATATAGACTTGCCTGTCCATCTGGCAGTCTTGTATTCTTGTGTTGAGACTACAGGTCGCAATTTTTGGGATAGTTTATTGAAAATTGATACACACCATGCCTATTATATAAGCTAATCATGTGGTTATCCTATCCCATTATTTATTTTCGTGAAATAATCTGACTTACCTTTAATTTCAAATAAGTTTTGCTAACACTTAACTCTCCTTTACAACTATTTGACGTCTCGGCCGATTTATAACAGTCTTCACCTTTGCCGTTCTCATCAAATTGTACTTGCTCGGTTTGGTGATGGCTCAGTAGTTCCATTAATACCCTCCAGACTTTTGGCAAATTATCAATAATTTCCTCTACTGTTGCAAATTTGCTCACCAAATTCGGAGAATCATGTAAATTTAACAAAACTGTAGTACTTGATTGCGTTGTCGCAGTCGATGTTGCTTTCTTATTGTTACTATTTTTTCTATGCAATTTCTTGCCAGTCTTTCCTGTGTTGGCCGCAGCAACATTCGCGGAAACAATAATTTTCTCATCAGTGCAATGTTTAGGTAAAGCAATTGCACCCTGCCCGCATTCGCTAACTAGTTGTTGTTGTTGTTGGTCTTGAGCATAGTTACCGTCATTACCGTCAGTACACAATAACGTTGCGTTATCATTAGTGTTGCTGATGTTATTCCAATCAATATTTACGTCTTCTACTTCTGGTGTTGTTGAGTTGGAGTTACGGCAGCTGTTGTTGTTTTGCTGGTTATTATCATTGCTTACACTTGCCTGCTCTACTAATTCGAATAATAATTTTGGCAATGTTGCATCGTCGCTGCAGTTAAGCTCTTTGACAGCCAACTCATTTAATAGAGCACGATTTTCCTCCAACATGGCTGTCAATCTATCGATGTCTAAATTGTTTTTACCATTAAAACCCAACACCATCTGACTGAAGAGCTATACAAGAGAGAAGGAGAAGAAACACACAAAAAAAAATAAATAAATAAATAAAAATGAATTACAACAACAATTACAAGAACAAACATAAACGATAGCAAATGGAAACAAACAAAACTAAGTTTTAAAATAAATGAAATTTCGACGAAATATGAGAATTTGTAGCCGGAAAATCAATTTAGAAACCTTCACAAATATTTGATTTAAAATTGTTACACTATTTGGTTTATGTGATTGATTAGAAAGACGAAGCATTCTCTTCTATGTCTCTCTCTCTCTCTCTCTCTCTCCCTCTGTTCATTATATTTAATAAAAATGTGTACACAGAAGACAAATGAAAAAAAAATTGCTTCAAATTTTATTTTAATTTTTTTTCGCCCCTTTGCCGTGAAAAACACTTACTAGCGTATCCTTTGAGAAAAAAAAAGAGAAACTATGAAATCTACTGAACGATAAGAAAAACTGACAGAGAAAATAGAAAACTTTGTCGTTATAACAAATTAAATGAAGTAAGTGAGTTCAATGCGCAATGCTTTTCAGTTCGCCGTAAGCAATAATTTCCGAAATATATGTACATATGCGTGTGTACCTACATGCATGCCATCTCTCTTTGAATAATTGAAACGCATCAAAAACTTTTGAATTTTTTTTTACATCTTTCCACCTTTATGTTATTTATGTATTTGAGTTTTTTTTTTTTCTTTTTTTTTTTTGTTGCTATTATTTTTTATGGTTTCATACAAAATGTTTTGCACACAAAAAAAGTTTTGATTTGCATACATTAGGAAATTCTATAAAAATATAATTTTATATTATATAATATTTGAAATATAAAATTTGTTTTTGTTCTTACATATTTTAATTATAAAAAACATTCAAGTTAATCTAAGTTTTTCACATATATAATATGTAAGTAAGTGTATACAAAATATATTTGAAAATTTTTTTCGTACAAAAATTTTTCATCTGCTTACCATGTTCACGGCACCGATTTCCTCTTTTAATGTTGCTTTCTCGAATTTATGCTCTTTACATTCATCACGCAAGCATTGCAATTCATTATTAACATTTTCTAAATCGTTTACCAACTTTTGATTGCCTTCTTCCAGCTTCTTGGTTCTGCAAAGTACAAAGTAATAATAATTTATAAATTTTTAATTTACTTTAAAAACTTTACTGTAGCAGAATGTAAAGAAGTTTTCCAATTGAAACACTTTTTCTAGGCATTAGTGAGGACCAAAGTCGCAAGTTCGTTCTGGTCCCACACTTAGTTTTAAGTTATTCTTACGTATTTTCAAGTACGTCTGTTAAGTTCTACATTAGCTTTCAAATTAGAAGTAAGGGACGATTTGGCAATAAAGGAGTTGGCGCTGTTGAAAAAATGACAGCTGACTTGAAATGTCACTTGTTAATTGATTGGCAACCTGAATTTGCCTCTAGGACAGGTTGTATAGCCACGGCTATTGTGTTTTTGTGTTCTAAAGCTTGTTAGAGCCATCATCGGTGTAATTATCGGACTCATTGGAAGTAAGGGACAATTTTTTGTCGTACGCGGAGACATAACAGCCGTCTTCTAGTGCGATTATTAGATCGATTGGCATCATCGATTTGCTTAGGTTAGGTAGCGATGGCGGTCGCCTTATTTTGTGTTTTGAAACTTGATCGAGCTACTAAAGCACCATCATCATGCTATAGATAGCAGCCGACTTCTAATGCGACTAGTAAATCGCTTGGCAATAACAATTTAGTTCAAAGATAGGTTAAGCAGCTACAACGACCAGCAACATTATTGTTTACTAATCCATCCAAATCGGTGTAAGTATTGGACTCATTGGAAGTAAGGGACGATTGACGTTCTTGAAGACATAACAGCCTACTTCTAGTGCGATTATTAAATGGATTAGCCTTATCAATATGCTTCAAAGATAGGTTAGGTAGCAATGGCGATCGACTTTTTTTTGATTTTTAAAGTTTGATCGAGCCACCATAGCCTTCCAAATTAATGTAAGTTACACTCAACAGCAGTACAGATGACAATTTGGGGAATCTATCGGGCGGGTAGAATTGACACACGTTAGACGTAGGGAGTAAAACTTCAAATCACTCGCCTTAACAATCATCTTAAATGGATACCAAAGTTAGGAACCGAACAAGATGGATACGTCACAGTCACGTAGTGTCGTAATGAACATGTTAATGATATCATAAACGTACGATTTATATCGTAAATGTGTTCGCTAAAAAAGAACATAGTCATAATACCTAAAATAACAGCCGTTAAGGTAGTCAAAATCTTGTAAGAATAGTCTGATAGGTTATAAACATAACCCGTGAGTTTGCTAATGAATAAAAAGAATTCGTTTCAGTTTAACAAATCTGAATGTAAGCGTTTTATAATTACAAAATCGGAGACAGGAAGAGAATCTACATTTACCTTATTATATACTTCTGATAATAAGATACTTTAAATAAATTGGCGAACTAATTCCCGATATTAGAATGCGGCACTCGATTTTCATTTTTGCAGACCCTATAAGATAGATAAACAATATTCGTAAGGGTAAGGGTCTGTCAATGGTTCCCGTTATCGGGCTATCGTACGATGCGAAACACAAAAATGATACGATCGGCTTATTGATTCATGGTATTCGATTGCTTTCGTATTTAAAATGGAATATTTAGCAATAGTCGAAGAAGCGGTCGAATACGGACCATTTTACACAGTTTTCGTTCTTGGGTGGAAACATTTCGCTTCACTTCGCTACACATTTCGTGAAGATATCTCGAAAATTGGACACAATAACATCAGACGCATAGACGGACAGATGAACAGACAAGTTTAGATCAATTCAGAAAGTGACTATGCATCGATCGGTGTAATAATAGTTAAAGGTGAGTCAATGTCAAATCCATCCGAGTGTTGCATAGATCCGCACAGATTTAATATACCTTCTCCCGGAGGAGCCAAGTATAGCTATTTTCTTCTTTTTTTTTCAGTGACACAAGCAAATGTGTTTTACGAAAAGAAGAGGGGGAAGATAGAGAATTGATGTGAAGTAGGCAGACTAGGAACCTTTGGATATGAAACGTAATGTAGGTCATCTTGTATAAAGGAAAATAAATTTTCTTCAAAAAAATCGTTTTTGCTCGCTTAAGCTTGCATGAGCTTTTTTGTCAAAGATCCTTAGCTTTACTACAAATCTCGATAATCGAGATGAACAAAGAGAGGAGCGGGTCATGCCCGTGGGTCGATATGCATGTGTGGCATTTATCTTAAAAAAATTTACTAATGATACAAACACAGCAGCATCCCATGCATGACACCATCTGGCAAACGAAGACTAACAAGCAGGATACATTTAAATGAATGGATGTTCATATTAAAAATAATTCTAGAAATGTGAACTCAAGAAGCTCGAAATTGTCTCATTAATTAGCGCTTTATCGGCAAAGAATGCTTTTTCTTTAATTTTGAAAAACTCATTTACCGCTTCCTTACTTTTACTGCTGTGGTCTTTATGGTTCTACTTTTAGCACATAAGCAAATAACTTTCATTTAAATTGAGTGCTCAAGCTCTCGACTTGTTTAATTTCCTCATATTATTTATTCGCGCATACTTACTTTTCCTGTTCGTTTGACAATTCGTCGCGTTTAATCGATATTAAACGTTGTAAATTTTCATATTCCGCAGCAGAAATACGTTGCCTTTCTTCATATAATTGACGTAATTGACGGATGTTGGTCAATTGTCTTTCGTACTCTTGCCGTAGATTGTCGGACATGAGTTTCATTTCATGTTCTGCAAATGATTTCTCGATTTCATTGAGCTTCTGTTTTAACTGTAATTAAGATGGAAGATAATGCCTTATTACAAAAATTAAATTCAGAAAATTATATGCAAATAATATAAAGAAATTCTCTCTCTCTCTCTCTCTCTCTCTCTCTCTCTCTCTCTCTCTCTCTCTCTCTCTCTCTCTCTCTTTCTCTCTCTCTCTTTCTCTCTCTCTCTCTCTCTCACTCTCTATGAATCAATCGTGAGGGATAATGATAAAGAAAAATACATTTCAAAGATAAACCCAATCGATGCCAATGTCATTGTCACGTACATATATATTAAAAATGTATTTTAAAACACAATTCGCTTGCAGAGGCATGTGTTTTCTTATCTCATCTGCAAATCTTACGGCAGCTGTTTATCACCGTTCATGTAATCGGTCATAATTGCATTCAGCAAACGATGGATGATTTCGGCATGAATTTATTGCATCATATGTATATGTAATAGATGCGATATGCACCCACCACCCAGCGATGATGACATGTTCATGTTATCAAAAAGATTGCAACATCCGGAACGAAGCTTCGGAAACTGCACCATCTCATCTGGACATGTTTGTCTGTCCGTCATTTCAGTTTTCCGTTTCGCCAGTGCAATGCCTGTGATGAACTTTCCCCCGTGCAGTTTCATATTTCGCAAAAACATTGAAAGCACTTGCACGCAGATTGGCATTGAAAACGGTTCAAATCGGCCAAAGGATGGATGCAAAGGACCCACAACATAAACTACGAACATCTCTGCTTTATAAAAGTTTGTCCATCACTTATAAAGTACAAGGTGTACGCGATAAAAATTTCCTTGTGTATCTTACAAAAATGGAAAGAATTAGCCCACCAAAGCCCACGCCCACGTAGTACTAAAATTAATAGATATTTATTTTTTTATAAAGACGATGGATACAAAAGGTCCGCTTGCAACTAAACTTAACTTTTTTACTTGTAAAATATCAGAGGTGTGCAACTCGCATCCAAACTGTACCTAAACGCTCTCATGTATGCTTAAACTTTTCTCAAGTGCATAATTATTGAAATGAACACATTGACCTTTAAAGGACCGATAACATGAACGCTATTACGAAACATTTCGTTCCGTGTATCTTCTTGGTGCAGATTTTGGATACTTCTGGTACATCAAAAGGATGCTTTTTTGTCCGTACCATTCTCCAGTTGGATTTTAAGATAGCTCTTCAAGTTTCCTTTTAGCCTCGAAATTTATTGATGACAATATAATGAAATACAGTTTGCGGTAATTTGAGTGCTGTAACTATTGTGGCAATGTTTGCTAGCAAATAACTCCAGATTTCGATCTAGTTTTGAGGGCATTAAGGAAAAATATGTATGAAAAACTGTAGCTTTTTATTTTAATTGGATTTTTACGAATTTGATGACTACTACAAAGGTTGAGCAGACAGACGAACCACTCAGGGAATATCTCCTACAAGTGCGAGGGAGATGGTGGTCAGGAAAGGTTATGGGTAGAGAGAAACGAGTATAGAAAGAGGGATTAATGCTTGTGTACGTTTGACTTAAAAGCGGAAAGATCAGGCACGGTGAGAAACACCGCTATTGGCGAGCAATGTGATTGAAGAAAGACCAGTCGCGGCAGAGTTTCCCGCGATATGCAACCAATTCCAGGACAAATGAGTGAAGAAAACCTTGCGGTCCTGGTAAATGACTTAATTGGTGAAAAGTTTTATCTCTGTAGAATACTTGCCCTGTACGCCGAAGTTTTCGTATATCAAAAGCTTTTAACGCACCCCCGAGTATCTGAGCGTTACGCTCAGCAAAAGTATCGATCGGTTTTAAACAGGATTTGAGGGCTTCCGCGCATGCATGAGAGTTATACTCTAATTTTAGCTGAACATAACCGATCTTAATGGTACGGATGTCGACTGCAAATGTCCCTTCAAATGCACATAAGATAAAAATATGTTGGTATGCAAATGCCAGATGACTTTGTTTTTTTAAATATTTGACCTACTGGCGCCTCTACAAAGTCTACTGTACATAATTGCAAAACTCTTAGGCCATTTAACTGTCTAATTTGAAAATTCACATTCGGGCAAATTTTCGAAAGAAAAATTAAAGTTTGACCATAAACAACTCGTTCGTTTCAGCTGATACTTGAATAAACGTGACCTACCTGGCACTCGCGAAAGTATCATTTTCAAGGTCATCGAATAGTTGTGATCAGTATGCAATGAGTCTAAAAATTAGTCTTGATTGATTTACACCGAACTTATTACATTAAATTGAAGCGAAATCTACCACCAAAGAGGATATGAAGTTCAAGAACCGAATTTATGTAAATGAAAGTAATAATTTTCAGAAATTTCAATGTGATAGTGTTCGTCACATACAATTCTGCCATAGTGTTCATAACATAGAATTCTGCAATTCGACAATTTGAGCCATATATTATTACGTATGTCAAACTTAATGTCATGTCTTTAAGATATCTTTTATTGTTCATAGTAGGCATACTCGGCACTATCTGCCGTTCGTACATAATCATTTTCGTATGCTTCGCCAAGTGCACAATGATAATTATCATTTATTCGACGTCGCCACGGATTCGTATGATAATCTTAAAAATTGCATGTTACGACACTGATTGCCAATTTTTTTCGCTTATGTATTATTCATTTTTATATAAGTGGACTAAATGCGTACGTGTTTGTTACGTCATCTTGCTTCGCGCATTTACTCGATGAATAATATTCTGCTCTACCTTATTATGTTTAACTTGAAGCTTATTCTTATAAGGTGCATTATTGTTTCTGTTATCTTTGTGATTATAACCGCAACCGTTACCTCTCGATTCTCAAGAATATAGAATAAAAATATAAAAGGAACAGTTCTCAAACAAAGAACTAAAGAAATATAACACCTTATTCAATAAGTTTGTCGGATGTCATCCAGACGAATGTTTAGACGATAAATTGGCTTTAAAGGCAAGCGTAATATTCTATTACATAATTCGGCTGGCCGTCCGTAAATACACTATTTAGGCCTGTAACAACAAAGGTAAGGACAAACCAAAATCGAAAACATTCGAAAAATATTAAAAAGGACTAGATCAGCTAGGATAATATTGTTGATCGAATGACTATTATTATTATTTACGTGGAGAAGACGTACCGCGACCTAGAAGATCAATTGCACACGCCCTTGCCCCTACCCCTGTAGTTGTAGGATTTTAATGAATACCGCCATTTGATGTCTGATGCTGCAGATGACTTCACATTCCGCTCGTCCTGTGGCAGAATCTGCATGAATCGGTATCAAACGTACCTAGTTTTTTAGATGGTACCTGAAGGTATGATGGGCCTCGTAGAAGCCGGTGACTAAACGTAGGTCGGTAAGGGAGAAATTTCTTAATTATCCAAGTTATCGAAATATTCAAGATTTAGCTTAGCAAACACAAGTTTCTTAGTGTCTTTTTCTTTCATTTTCTGTCAAATTCTATCTTCATTTCTGACCTTAAAGCATACAAGTAATAAAACCATGGCTATAGCAGAATCTTCTATACCCACCAACCTTAAAATAAAAAAAATATATCGCATTTCCATACTTTGTAGTATTGAGTGGACGCTACCGTCTTTTTCCATTTTTTTACAGCTGTTGTAGGGCCACCCTAAAAGTGTGGAAGTTTTCATATCTTCCAAGTTTATAAGTGATGAGCAGCAATCCTAATCTTTTCGTTCAGTTTATGCTATATAATACCCGCGGTCAAGAAGTTCGACGCATCCCCTTTTTAAACATTCACTTGCGTGAAAAAAACTTGCAGCATTTTCCGACCAAGAAAATATTAACTGCAGATAGAACCGACAGATGAACAGACAGATGAACAGACATGCCTAAATTGGTTCACAATGTGATGCTTAGCGAAAATATATGTACTTTATGGGTTCTCTAATGGAACGAAGACCACGATTTTCGTTAGTGGGTCTAACAACACATTGTTTTATGCGCGGCAAGGGTCCCCTACACAGAGTGAACGTTGCGCAAAGATTTAATAGGAACTAACATATGATTTTGGTACTGATTACTTACTGAAAGTAAAATATGAATGGCAAGAAAATTATGTGGATCCATTACGCATAATGGACGTTGCGTAAGGCTTTCACAAAAACTAATATGTGATTTTGATACCGATTACTTACTGAAAGTAAGAAAAGTATAGTAATAAATTTAGGTGGGTCCACTGCACATTATGAGCGTTACGTAAGGTTTTCATGAAAACTAAGATATGATTTTGGTACTGAACTCACATCGTTACATTGTTCCTCTTTAATCGTCAACATTTGCTTGCAACATGTTATGACTTCTTTCAAAGTGCCAACTTGCTTTTGTAGAACTGACAATTCCCCGCGTAATGATATATTCTCGGAATTAGACATTTGCAAAGCCAACTGAGCATTGGCTAATTCAATATTCGCGTGACGGCTGCGACTCAAAGGATCTTCATCATCTGCATCATCGTTACTATTGTCTTTTGTCTCTTCTCTCGTACTAGTTTTCTGTGAACTCATAACATTAAGAATGGTTCTCTCACAATCGTTTTTTTGCGGCAGCACGTTAACTTCTTGTAAGTCTTCACCACTACGTAAACGTTGCGAGAGCGCACGTTCTGTTGCTAATTGTCGACGTAAACTAGTAATTTCATCACGTAATTCTTGTACAGCACTTTGTCGTGCCAGACGTCTGACGCGTAATTCCTCTTTAAATTCGTCCAAGGATTGTTCATGATAGGTGTGAACCTCCGCTAGCGAAGTTTCTAAGGTTTCACTATCTTCCGGTTTTTCACTATTATTTTTAGCATGTTCGCTTAATGTCAATTTAATTTTATCGGCAATCTTGTGTAAGCGTTCAAAATTTTCATTTATTTCACTTTCGCTATCAGTGCGTGGCTGTGGCTGACGCACAAACTCCGAGGTAACATTTGGTACTTGATCTAAGATAAAATCATCGTTTTCAATTTGCCACCAACGTGACTCATTCTCCAGCGTATCGTTTTCATTTTCATTAGACACTCTAGGCGAAGACGATGTCGTCGTTACGTTATCCGGAAAGTCTAATCGATTTTCACTCGCCATAATGGCTTTTAATTCCTTATTTTTTAAAATTTCGTTAATATATTTCTTTTGTATTATAACTGAACGATTCTTCTTTAAACACTGTCCTTTACTTAAGCGAACAACTCGTATTTTATAGACGATTTCATATGGTTGGGGAGTGTTTTTCTTGTTTCTTTTGTTACGTCTTAAATAAATAACAGTCAAAAAAAAAAAAAAAAAGAAAGAAAAACACGAGCACGAGGGAGAGGATATTGAGTTAATTTTAAAATGAAAATTGCGTTTTAATAGTAAAAGTTTCTTTTGCGCTTTCGAATGACTTTTTTTTTTTTTTTATTTTGTTCTAATTTTTCGTTGGTTTTTTCTTTTTTTTTTGTAAATTTTTTTCTTTAATTATTTCGAGAAGAAGCATCAATTGTTTAAATTTCTTAATACACGTTCCTTAGTATAGAGATTTTCATGCTTACACTACATATTCCCTATAGGAGATCTATCGTTCAGATTGAATCACTTTCTTGATCGTATATTATTTTCTTCAACATTTTCTTCGCTCTCTAATTATTTAATAGACTTTCTGAATTACTTTTTTATTTTTAATTATGTTCTTTTAATTGAATTTAATCCATTCTCTTAATTATTAAAATTATTAAAAATTCAGAAAATTATTTCGTTTTACCTTCACTCGAGCACTTCTTATGAAAAACTAACTGACTACCCAAGCTATTTTTAAATTTCATATTCTTCGAATACAAAATTCACTTGAGGTTCATTTTCTATGGATACACACAAATGTATAAACATATATAGATATATATTTATATACATCTGTATATATACATATATACTAACTTGTGTGCATAATTAAGCATTCATTTTCGATCTTGGCATCCAATTCTTTTGTTCAACTTTTACTACAACAAATTAATTTTTTTTTCACTTTTTCTTTAAATTCAATTTTCTTGTGTTTACTTTTGAAAAGTTTTCCTCTCTGTATGTATTCAGTACATATGCCCTTTGTACTCTTTTATTATTATTATCTAAAATTTATTTATTCAAATAAGTAATTGTTCATCCAACTTGTAAAAAAGTAAATAAAAGAATTTTCTTCTTCTTCTTTCCGAGATTTCATTAGTTTCATTCAACATTAGTAAATATGTATATATTCGATTGGCTACGAAAAAGTTACATTTTACTTAACTATTACATCACTCAATAAGTCTTCGGTCTAATTTTCTCAATCCTAAAACCAATTGATTGCTGACAGTATTTTTTAATATAATACCAAAATGTTCGCGGTCTAAATACAAAGCACCGTGAAATACATACATCCGGGGTTCAGGCACTAATTTTTAACTTTCTGGTACTCAGAAGATGCGAATAACATATATCAGGTGGGGCGTTCTTATTACTGTCTGTGTATAGTTTTCTGCTAAGGTGGTTAGATCATCCAGGCCCAATGAAGTTGAATTTATCGGCATCTGAATTGAAGTAAAGAAGAATTTTTCGGTTTACCTGCAACATACTGGTCTTCTACAAGAACTTCAAGTAATCTCTGCCCGATTCGCTAGTCATTTTGTTTTTGTCCCTTTTCAAGATAAACGATGAATATTGTACTATGCGTTTCCGAAAATACGAGCCTTCCTAGTCGACTTTAGCGTTTTTATCCGCTTTGAACGCATTTCGACTATTGCTCTCCACTCGCCTAATCGCTGACTCTGAAAAATAACGATGATTCTCTGTTTCATGCAACAAGTTTTTGCGTTTGGTCAAAAGTGGGCGAACGTGGAACCTGTTAATGCAAAATGATGATGGATTGCCTGTTTTACATAATTTCACTTTTTTTAATGTTTTTTGGAACAATTGACGAATCCTGGCGACCAAAGTGTTGGTCGATATCTTTATGACTTTGTTAAATCTAGCAAACCACCCATACCCAATGAATCAAAAATTGCCATAACATCTTTCAAGGCCTTAGTAATTTTATTCAGTTGTTTTGTCAATTACCTCCCAGAGTTTTTCATTGTTTTGAAAATACCAAAAGTAGTTTCACTGAAAGCACTGTAGCCTATAAATGAATTGTTAAAATAAGGCAAAATTTTGACACGTATCGTTTGAAGGTTGGTACAATCCAGAAATCGTAGGGTCTGTCAACTGCGTTATCATATATCTGTCAGACCGGAAACTTATTGAGTGATATATTACACACCTGAAAGAGAATAATAGAACTTTTAAGTGAAGCCGAAAAAGCAGCGCTACTTATTACGAGCATTAAGAATCTTTCTTACATATGAAAGTAGTCCCAAAGCAACTTGAATATAAAAAAGATATAATTGGAAAATGTTTGGTTATATTGTCAGGTCAATCTATTAACAAATCAAATATAAAGATATAATTTTCATAATTCCACCTCGTGTCAGTGCGCAATGGCTCGCCTAACCTGCATATTTCCGTGACAGGTAAAAAACATCGTTACATCAGTCATTGCTCGTCGTGGTGTTACTTTTGCTACTCGTACAGTATATGAAGTAGAAAATGTTAATGATAAGTAATAGTAGGTAGATGCATAGATAATTTCTAATATATCTTACTCCAATTGGTACCAATCCATTGTAAATTTTATTTAGAGAAATGCTTTTAGAGAAAAATTTATATATTTATGACATGTTTGAGCATTTGAGTTTGAGTCGAAGGATTGAAAATTTCACATTAACAAGAATGTTAAGGCTTTCTACTTGTAATTGTTTGCTTACAATTTTTGATTTTAAATGTTGTAGTGTAAAGTTCTCATCAGATACCCTGTACCATACCGGAGTTATTCATTTAACACAGATTTAAAATAACGGATCATATGGGAAATAATTGAAAAAGTGGTCCGATCCGAAACATTGTCAATACTATTCGCTATTGGACCAAAACACGCCAGTGTGCCAAATTCACCAAAATATCTCACAAATTACGGACTGTAGGCTGGACGCAAAAAACCGAAACGGACAGATGGACCGATAAGCTTAAATCGATTCGAAAAATTCATCAGAAAGAGATTGTTGCTTAATTGAAATTGTGACCTGGAGAAAATAAACCGGACAGACGGACAGACACGCTGAAATCGTTTCAGAAAGTGCTTCTCGATGGGTGTGATGAGAAGTTAAGTCCCTTTGTGTTTTGCATACATCCTCACAAACCTAATATACTCTTGTACCACAACTCTTATCCCAATCGTGTCCATTTAAGTTTGAATGTTTGAAACTAGACCCAATAAACTACCGAATTCACTAAAAGTTGAATTTGAAATAATATAACGAAAAGAAACACTCTTTACATGTTTTTTTCTCTCTCAAGTCTCTCAAGTTTCGCTCTGATTATTGCAAAGAAGAGAAAGGTATAAGAAACTCTGTCGATTAATGAAAAAAATTTTGATTTACAAATCAAGTTAGAAATCAAATTAAAATTATATAAGTGCGGTTTTTTTTTCTTCTTTCTTTCTCTACGTCAAGGTTATTTATTTTGGTCAAGTTTTTCGTTCAAAAACTAATTAACAATTTGAAAACTTTATATCTAAATCGTGAGGATTTAATTGAAATTTTAATATAAATGTTTAATGTAAAAATTGCTAACATTTCTCTCCTTTGAATTTCCATTGCACAGCATTTCTCACCCATGGGGAAAAAAATCGTCGCCATTTGGTCTTTATTATTTCATAAAAGCCTTTCACTTTTGTTACTTAATTTGAAGACTACATTGTTTAACGCTACATAGTGTGCAGTGAATGATATAAAAAGCCACGTGACATACATCAAGTGCTGATAATTGCAAATCAATCTTTTGTTTACAATTTTAATTAAACAACACATAAGAAAATTATGTTCGCATTTAAACGAATCTCAGATCCCCATCAATCCAAAGAGGTTGTTGCTAGTTCTAAGTGTATCACTTGACCACTAATTGCTGCTTTCACCATCAACTTTTAGGTAGAAGATAGGCTTCTATTACAAGATGATTACTCTCTTATTATCTGCCTCATATTTGATCAATTTTGTAACATTTCATATAAGCAGCATACAATACACGGAATGGATGGATGGACGGAACAATAACAAGATGAGCGAAAAGATGGACAGGGCTAATAGACCTAGAAGAAGAGATGAAGTGATGGACAAGGTGACAAAACTACAAATGGACGGATGGAAACGAAGATATTTGCACAGACGATCGACGGAGAAAAGAGTGAAAAACCGACAAACTGAAAAGCAAAAACAGAGGTATGCTTAAGAGTAGCTGCACCTAAGGGCAGCTGAACGAAATTGCCGAATGTGCTCAAAAAAAAAAAAAAAAAAAAGAAGAAAATTAGACGAATGAACATGACTTTGATTTTGATCAAGAGAAAGGGGATTCCTTTTTTGGCAATTACAGACATTGTGATCACAAAGAAATCTCCTACATAGATATATCAGCATAAAAATTACATCACATAACAAACACAAGGAAATTCCGAAAAGAAGAAGATGAAATTGCAAAGCTTTCAAGAATAAAAGAGATTAAGAAATAAATAACTGCAAAGAGAGAGACGAAAAATAAGTAAAATATATATAGAAAATTATAGTCGGCTGTGACCGAAACTCCTGTACCCACCGCTTTGTTATTTTTTTTTTAACTAATTTTAAATATTGCAGGATCCTCCATGGAATATGTTCGAACAGTTTTACTGCCACATGTGCTTTACAATACAAATAACGGACATAAAATCCGATTTTTTTGCTTTCGGACGCAAAGATGCTTTCAGTTTATGTTGCGCTGCCTTCATCCCTGGCAACTTTAAGACCAAAATCTTCAGTTTTGTGATCAAGAGAGTGATTAGCACATAAATCCTCAGGGACAGACGAAAGTATGAACACATCTAGTTAAATTTAATATTTGAAACTCTATAGGGTCTCTGAAGCTTCATTTTATACGTTGCAACCGTTTTGAAAGTCTTAATATACCCCTTCCTTCAGTGGTGGGTATAAAAACAATATTTACCTGGAAAGGAACTTTCGACACTCAACAGACTAACGTACAAGAATCATGTTTACTTTTAACATCGTAATAACTAATAATCTAGTTCTGTCGTTCATATTGCATGTAGACGGACATGGATTTAAACAACTGATTTTGTATGTTAAAATATTTATTCTAATTTTCAAAGAACATGGTATGAAGAATATTTGAACAGATTGACAAGCTATGCCACGGGCAATGAAGGTGTGAGGCATGTGTTTGCTGACATTACAAAGAAACAAACATTGCAATCGTTGCCGAATAGAGAGAGAGTTAAAAAATTTCTTTGCAAATAAATTAAATTAAAACGTATTAGCCAAGGAAAGCCGCCTATTTAATACCCTACATTTTCACGGACACATATACAACACAGACTCCTTATAAGGAAGAGAGTCCGAAAAAAAGACCAGTGAGATCCAAATTTAATGCAACACATTTATATGTCAGATACCTATTGGATGAATCACCATTATGGAATGCTAAAGATTAGACCTTAAACCAAAACATTCGAAAGCAAATTTATGTGGAACGACTACGTATACT